TAAATGAAGCAACAAGTTAAATACTTCAAAAAACACCAAATTTAAGTTAAATACTTCAAAAAACATGAGTTATACAACAAATAGTCTATTACAAGTCAGAACCAAAGCCCGAAATAGTCTATTACAACCAAAAAACAATCAAGTATGAGTCGGTTTCTCGGGTTGAATGGGTCGGTTTCTCGGGTTGAATGGGTCGGTTTCTTGGGGCGGTTTGTCGGTTTTAAGTATGGGTCGGTTTATCGGGTTGGATGGGTCGGTTTTTGGGTAAAAACCAAAACCGAACCCGATTTTTCGGTTTTTAAAAAATTCAAACCTTAATCGTCGGTTTTGCTTCGGTTTCGGTTTTTTCGGTTTCAGTTTCGTCGGTTTTAGTCGGTTTCTCGGTTTCTTGGTTTGGGTTTGCTCACCCCTATCAAATAGCCTTTTTGAATCTTATTTTCATAGTATAAACTTTCAAAGACTATCATCTGACATAAATTAACTAGCTTCGCAAGCTATTTTTGAACATGTTTAACTTTCCAAAATTGTGAGAAAATAAATATTTTGGAAAAAAAAAAAACTTTAACCATGTATTCCTTATGAAATACATCTTAACATGTTAGATATACTTCTATAAACTTGTAGCAAGTCCTAGAGTTCAAAACTCAAGCACAAATATGGGATTACAGTTTCATCTTCAAGAACACATGTAGTTTAGACCATGCTAATCAAAATACTTCCAAATATGAAGACATAATCATGTTAAGAGACCTTCAAAATAGGTTAAACAAACATTCCAATAACTTTCTTATAGTAGGATCCGGAGCTAGACACCACCAAAATCAAGCATAACATTAAAAAACACTAAACACCAAAAATTTAAGGGTTTTTACCTCAAAATCTTCACTTAATACTTCCGAAGTACGAAGTTTTCTTACAACAAACGATAGGGATTGATAGAGAAAAGTTAGAGACCAAGTTATGGAGTTTTAAGACTGAAAATGGTGAAAATATCAAGCCAAAAATGCTAATTTACGTCAAAGTCGGCTAAAATTCATGCCTGGGCCGGCCCAGAACTTGGTTCGGCGGTCCAAATCCGGTTCAGCACCCACTTTTGACCCATGACACTTAAAAATCCATATCTTTTGACTTGGAACCTTCGTGATAAGGTTTTCGCCTACGTGTTCGTAACAAAATTAAAAAATCCCCAATAAAAATATCTCACACAATTTTCCTCAAAAATTGTAGTTTTTTATTTTACCGAACCTAGCACTAGACATTCTTCTGAGTGCTTCAACTTTCTATGTATTTCTTATGGGTTTCCTATAAAACCTTAACATACATCACTTAGATACTTATTTAATACTAAAGTAGCAATGAAATGGTCATTAAAAAAAAAAAAAAAACTTACTAAACTTCAACATACCTTATTTGTGAAATCGTGTTTTTACAAATATAGTAGGTTTAAAAACTCCAAAAGACATCCTACATATGGACCAAGAAAGTTGAAGCGGACTCACCTCTTCGAGATGACAAACAAAAATTAGCTTCAACAGACAAGTACTTTAAACGTGGAGAAATTTGACACTTTGCTAAGGTCAGACCACAAAGCAAAGAAAACTAATAAAAAAGAAAACTCCTATGAGGCAAAATACAAAAGACGTGTTGCCTCATTGAAGAGATCAAATACGGGGCAAAGGTTCATGTTGGCTGAAAAAGAAAGTAGGGAAGTTGAAAATCGATGTTTCATCTGACAATGAAAAGGTTGAAGCAACCACAACAAAATGATATTTCATTTTATTCAGGAATGTATGGAGAATGGCAGCTACAACGATGGCTTGCCATGCCATTTGTATTTTTTAAAAAGACAAATGAAACAAGAATGAAAAGGGTTGGTTTGGAAGATCATACTTTTAATATGAGAAATTACTCCTAACTTTTGTTCCTAATTTTTTTCCTACCTATTTAAGATGATGACAAGTGTACAAATTTAACATTTCAATCAAATTTAAATTAAATTAAATGACACTTGTCACCATCTAAAATAAGTAGGAAGATAGTAGACACAAAAAATAGAAGGATATTTAATTTCTCTTTTAATATACATTTTAAGATTTGAGAGAAATTAAATATCCTCCTACTTTTTGTTCCTAAATATCATCCTACCCAATTAGATGGTGACATGTGTAACATTTAATGTTCATTTAATGATATTTTAGGATACTAACATGACACATGTCATCATTTAAATGGGTATGAGGATTGGTAGAAACAATAGGTAGGAGGATATTTAATTTCTCTTTAAGATTTATAATTTGAAAGTGCCGGTTTACTTTACATTAATGTCACTTAAAGCATCCTTTATGGTAGGGACGAGCATTTGGACCGGGGAACCGGTACCTGAACCAGAACCCGATGGAACCGGTCGGGCCGGGACCGGGACGATATTCTTGTGGATTTTTGAAATCGGGAATCGGTAGAAACCGGAACCGGACCCGGTAGAACCGGCAAAAACCGGTAGAACCGGTAAAAACCGAAACCGTATGTTGCTATTTCTTGATGACCGGTTCCACCATTGAAGACATGACAAGAATGGGTAGAACTGGCGGTCCGGTTCGGTTCTTAATTTCGGCCGACTTCGGTTCCCAGGTCGGGTCCGGTTCGGGCCTGTTCGGATCGGTTCCTTTGCTCATTCCTACTTTATGGCAAGTCCACCGGATGGTTTTTCGCAGCGGGCTAACGGGGCCGCCAAATGGGCGAGTGGACAAAGTCTCATCCATATGGGTTGATTGAGCATTCTGTGTTCGGACGTGGTCCATCACTTATTCTAATAACCGGCCCATCATTAACACATTTAATTTTAGCTTTTATTGTACCATTAATTTTATTATTTCATATGACACCTCGTCCTTTTTAATTTTTTTATTCTAATCATTTTAAGTTAGGAACTTTATTTAATTTAAATATATAACAAAAAGTTACATAATATAGACATCAAATTGAGTTGTTTTCGTTTGAATCTTATGGCGAAATGTTGTTAAAAGAAGAGTAAATTACACGGATGATCCCTGTGGTTTGGGGTAATTTGTTCATTTGGTCCCTAATTTATTTTTTTAACTCGTACAAGCCCTATAATTTCAATCATGCGTTTGGTCCCTAACCGACTTAAAATAACCAATATACCCTTATTTATTATTTAATTATTTTGTTTATTTTATTTAATAATTTAGGGTAAATTACACAGATGGTCCTTGTGGTTTGGGGTAACTTGTGTGTCTAGTCCCTGAGCAAGATTTTTAACTCGGATGATCCCTAATGTTAAAATTCGTAACCCGCCTGGTCCCTCACTTAACATTCTGTCTGTTTTGTGGTTAGAAACCCCCCACGTGATAAGCACGTTGGGGGTATTTTTGTCTTTTCATATCACCCAGTCTTTAAACATGGTTTATTCGTCTTCCTCCCTCATTTCTTTCTCAATCACAGTCTTCTCCTCCCACCTTTCTTCTCACAGCCGATTAAAAATGATGAAATGCAATTGTGGTGCGATAGGCGTAGTACGGACTTCAACTACGAAAAGAAACCCAGGTAGGGCATTTTATGCTTGCCCGTTAGAGGTATGATGTTGTAATTGTTTTGGGGGATTTTCTATTTTAACCCTAGTATGTGTATGTGCTAATCGAAGCCATTGACAGTACATGGACCAAGGTCTGGCTTTATTAAGTGGGTAGATGAAGAAAAGCATGGTCATGAGGCGGAAATAAAAAATGAGGGGCTTGAAATCCGAATTCAAGAACTTGAGGTCCAAAATCGGAATCTGAAGACATTATTAATAATCAGTTGGTTTTTGTTTTTTGGGATAATTGTTTACAAGTTGTAGTGTTAGGTTTAAGATCAATTGATGTAGTT